CCGGGTCATTAAGGTATCCGCGCGCGAGCAATGGACCCTCAATGAGAAGCTCTCCCGGCGCGCCAATGGGACAAAGGCGGTTATAGTCCCCAGGGCCAACCACCCAAAAGCCCCCCGCTAACGGCTTCCCAATATTAAGGGCCGCTGATGCACTCGGGACTTTATTGGCAGTTGTCCAAATTGAACTCTCAGCGGGACCGTAAGCGTTTCTTACAATGGTGTGCCCTATCCACCGGTCGACAACGTTCGGTTGAACAGCTTCTCCAGTCAAGATTAGTGTTCGGATTGTTGAGAGCTCGTCTGGCTGGACTAGCGCTGCCACGGTCGATGTTAAGGTAGCTATAGTAATGCCAGCTTCCAGTAGAAAGGGCGTGAGTCGATTGAGTCGATCGTTTTCGGAGGGAACACAGACACACGCGCCAAAGGACAGACTTGTTATAGTCTCAGCGATGGCCACGTCGAAGGTATAGGCTGCAAATTGCGACAATCGGTCCCTAGGCTGTATGCCCAGCTCAGATCCGTGTGCAAGTATGCTGGTTGCTAGGGCACGGTGCTCAAGCACCACGCCCTTAGGCTTACCGGTACTGCCGGAGGTGTAGATGACCCAGGCCGTATGTTCTGGTCGCACAGACGTGCATAGCTCCGCGGACGAGTAAGACGAGATTGCTGGGCCGTCTTCAAAGAACATGTCCACGGCGACTAGTGAAAGATCATTGGACAGCGCTGCTAGCCGCTCCTTATGGGCACGATTGACTAGAACAATCGACGCCGCTGTGTCCTGAACAAGATCTCTGATGCGCGCTGCTGGGTGCTGGACTCCAAGAGGGACTACAGCGCCACCTGCGCGAAGAATGGCCAGCATTGCCACTACTGCCCACTTGGACTTGTCCATACACAGACCGACTTTTACCTCTGGGCCGACTCCGTTCCTGGTAAGGTAATGAGCTAGTTGACGGCTGGCGTCATCCAGCTCGCCGTATGTCATCTCTCCGTCCCACGAACTAATGGCCAGCGACGCGGGCTGAGCAGTCATCTGCTCTTGCACCAACTCGTGTACGCAGCGTTCTGTAGATTGCGGCATAGTCGAATTCCACTCACGTAACGCCTGCTTGTCCGAATTTCCGAGACTTGGAAAGTCCGCGATACTTTTACCTGTTTCCTGTAATAAGAAAGTTAGTGCGTCCTTGAATCCTGTTAGCTGTGCCTCTGCCACTGGCCAGGCAACTCTCGAAGCCCAATACTCCAGGCTCAGGTCAATCCGTTCCTCGGTGTACCTTAAGTTGGCCGCTAAGTCAAACTAGCGTCTCGTCAGAATACTATACAGCTGGTGAAGAAGAGTCTCGTACGTCTGTAGCACTTGTCATCCGCTCAATACTCATAGCAGTCCCCTCCGTAAATATGCCGTGGTCCATGACTTGTCTCTCAATCGAGAGAAGTGTATTTCCAAGCTTCTTTAACGATCGTGTACTTGATATAGGCAGATCCGCCAGAGAGATGTTCTGAAATGGCAAGCCATTTTGGAAGTCTCGCTTTGCCATATGTAGCGCGTCTTCCAACGTAGTCTCCGGGCGCAGGGTTAAGCAGCACGGAAACGTGTTTACAAGGGGTCCCACGATTGCTTCAGCGCCCTTTATGGCGCTGCTGCGCCCGGAGACGATGTACGAGAACGTAATGGTGTCAGAAAGAATAATTCGTCGAATAGCCAGCGCCCAGGCTACGTGAAATAGGTTTGCTGGAGTAATTGAGAGTTGACCACAAACCGCGCGGAGCTTTCCCTCCGGCAGCGTTATTGAACAACGAGCCATTTCCAGGTCACGCAGACGAGGATGACTTGTCGCGAGAGGCAAATGTGATTCGGTAGCATCGTTCAAGTATGACGTCCAATAACCAGCACCATCGGATCCCTCCAATGAACTCAGCGAATCCTGTTGACTAACTGCAAACACCGCGTAGGGAGGCGGCGTTTGTTTTGAGAAATAGCCGGCTGCCGAATAGCTAGCTCGAAGGTCATGCAGCAGAATTTTGGCCGAGTGCCCGTCAACGAGAGCATGCGAGATTTCCACCTCAAGTTGAAGCTCTTCAGCACTGATCTCGTAGACACTAAGGCGATGCGGAACGTCAAATTTGCGGGTAGTGAGTGGTTTGGCGGTACTGCCCGTGCTGGGAGCAGAGCCGGTCAAGATGCGCGGACGCACAGCTGTGTCCTTAAGAACGATCTGGTCAAATTTACCCGGTCGATCATTACTCTCCACAAACGTCGTTCTGAGTATTGCATGACGTTGGACAGTGTTCTCCCACGCCCTGGCAATTTCTTTTGCTCTGGGTCGGCTTTGCTGCTTGGCAGAGGTCGACGATAGCCTAATAGAGACACGACTGATATAGGACGCAGGATTGATTGCTTGGCTGATCAAGAAACCTTCTTGCACCGGTGAGCAAGGTGCGATAGCCTCAACATCATGTAGGCTTAATCCGAGGGTTTGTAACCCCATGTCCAGATCGTCCAAAGCAGACTCCCGCCAGTTGACAAGAGGGAACTCGCGGTCGTTCGCCAGTTCCCATTCTTGAGCTCTATCCCCTCTTCTGATCGAGTCTGGGGGACTATGTCCATTTGTAAGATGTCCATTTGCAAGATGTCCATTTGCAAGATGTCCGTTCGTAAGATGTCCATTCGTAAGACTAGCTCCTGCACCGTTTGCTTCGATACTCTTTCCATCAATCTCTTTAGCAAGGTCGTTCAGGCTCTCCGCTGTTAAGACCTCTGCCATTTCGAGGTGAATGCCTGCTTCGCGACATTTGACGATAAAGTCGATCGCCAGGATGGAATCACCACCTTGGACGATGAAGGATTTGTCCCAGTCTAGCGACCCGAGGGCGATGTCGAGAAGATCGGCGGCGATCTTTCCGAGTGCGAGCCTCGATGACTCGAGAGGCGCTTCGCCATTAATGTGGTTGTCCATTTTTAGAGAGAAAGTTGGTCTTCTCGGTCACGATCTTGGCGGTGGATTGAGTGAACGCGACGCGCCGGTCGTCCAGGATTGTTGCAGTCGAGTGCAGAGTCAAATGCCAGTGCACAAGCTTAGCTCGCGAGTCTTCCGTCGGCTGTGTACCTGTCTGCGGAGCTGGACTGACCTCGACCTCATATGCCGGAGCAGGATCGACATGCAATTGACAATGATTACGAACCAGTCTGCAGGGGCCAGAAATGATAACTCGATGATTCCAAATATCGCCATTAATCATTAACTTGCAATTATTCATTGAGGCTGAGTACCGAAATGGACTAGCAACGTAAGCTGTGGGCTTTATGGTGGCGTCCCATCATTACCTGTAATACCTCTCATATTGACATTCTTCGATATGACGGTGTGGCTCGCAGCGCTTAATATTGCACAGATCTAGTCCATAAACGAGTCACTGCTTCTCAGTTTGACCAGCAGCTAAGACTTGAGCCACCACTTGGAGGAGCAACCTATTCTGTACATCGCTAACTCCACCTTATTGATGTGAAAACGGTGAAAGTCAACCTTTGCTATTGACCACAAGCTTCTTCAATGCATCAAACAGAGCACGCGACGTGGTGGAGTGAATGTAATCATGTTAGAGATTGTGTAGTTCACATTCGGACGAGCGCGGATCTTTGCGCGGAGGCATTCACAAATTGACGTCATGCTCTTTGTAATCAATATCATCCGCTGCATCAAACATCCCCAGCATTCGTAGGCATACTGCGTTGAGCAGTGGGCTATATACGATTCAGTCGTTGCTTCTACAACAACTTTGACACACAAGCGCTGTAGGGAGTATTTGCGACAAGCACTTTCAAACGTGGTGACGATGTCCAATACTTAACAGTGGTACCGGAAACCAATGCGCCAGGGCGGAGAAATCGACATCATTGGCGCCGGGCGTTAGCTCAAGATTTGGGGGCGCATTCGCAGCCGCCATAATCGAGCATCTATCGAGACGAAACTGTATTGAGGAAAGTCGCATTGAGAGGCTGCAATGTTACGGCCCCTGAATTTTCAGGTGGTGGCTTTCCTGCCAAGTTTCGCCTCGACTGCCTTTCTCCAACAGGGAAGCCAATTCCAGCCTGCTGGAGAGACGTCGCCGCCGCTGGTCGCCGCCGCTGGTCGCCGTCGCAATCCAGCTTGGGCGGGCTTGGTAGAACAAAGTGGGGCGGATGGGCTTTCTCGGTCCGGTGCGCCCGTCAGCTCCATCAGCGTGATTGGCCAGTCTAGCGCGCACGGATCATGTTTCCGGTCCCATGATCCGTGCACTGCCTCGTAGGGTCTCTGCTTGGCCCCCTTGTGTCTTTGCCCACAAACTTCCCGGAGCTCGCCCAACGCTTTGGCTGGCGCCTGGTGCCTCGAATCTGAACGAGATGCGCACACACATCGGAGCTACTACCTGCTCTGAAGAGACTCGACTTCAGTACGGCTACGCGGTTGACCCGCCGACTATCCGTGCGTCTTTCGCTGCAGACAGGCGTGTCTTCGTAATGGTAATAAGTCCAGCGACCATAGGCTTCCTTTGATTGTAAGTCACACAACGGGCTTCCAATCGACCCCGTGCCGTAGTAGTGGATGACGAGGAAATGAGCAAAGGTCTCATATAGCAATCCCATCGCTCAACGGCGAGCAGCCTGTAGACGCTTTCCAACAGCAGGGTGGCGAATACCTTAAAGGAGCTGACTTTTCCCACACTTCACTAATAAGAGTAAGTCTGCCCTCATCGTGTCACGTTCAGCCCAAATTTGGATAAGTGGGCGCTGCCCGACTCTAAGGTCTTGTGAGAGTACAACATTCCGTGAGAGTAGTGCCTTGCCAATGATGGCGCTCACGGTAGCACCAGCTATCGCCCCGCGTATAGCTCTCGTGTTCCAGGCAAAGACAGTTAAGGCGCTCCAGTGGTAGAATACAAGATGTCTATAGACAAGCTTATCGTTCGGTTCGTTGCTAAGTGGACCTTTTGCAATATGGGCGCTCTTCTTTCTTCATGTCGAAGACAAGAGGAAAAGGCCAAATAACGACCATTTGCGCTACGTACGCACGAATCAGCCTCGTAGCACCAGTTTCTACCGCTGATAAATCCTTGAAACAGATTCGCCCAAGATTTTGCCATTATAGATTAAGAAGTTTCTTGGCCTTAATTGGAACGTTGCTAACTATCTTGTAGCTCCTTGCTTAGTGCGTTGCGTCGATCATCAGCTCGCACTGCGCTACTTTCGCTATCGTAGGTATACTAGTAATAGTATATTAGGTCCAATCTATGTACCTACTAACATCTTATTAGCTACGTTGACTAGGCCTAGAGCTTAAAGCTTCTGTATTTTAGGTGGATGGGATCTATACAACGTCAGCCAAGACAATATACTGCCGCTTCCTAGACACTATTTAGATGTGTCTTCCAGCAACTCACTAGAATCTGCTCAGTGTTGTTCTCGACCATCTGAGCTCAGTACTAGCAAATCTTATTATCTCGGGTCGCTATCGGAACAAGCCGCGGGGGCATTAGATTGTCCTTGTATAGTGTAGTCTAGTTAGGCACCTCTACTAAAGTCCTAATCTCGAAAGAGACGGGGCTGAAAACGTCTCTAGGTGCTATGGAACGAATTAACGACTCTTTTGAAAAGTACTCCTTCGGATATCTCGTCTAGTAGAAGTTTAGCTCTAGCTATGTGGAGGCCTGGTGAAGGCGAGATCGAGTTTCGCGATATTTCGCTTAGATACAGTTAAGTCTCTAGCATGGAAGCCTATACTAAGGACGGAAGAACAGCTAAGATGTCGTTCTAGTAGAACAATAGTCTTACGCGCCACGTTATATCTAATCTGTCACTCAACACTAAACAGGCTAGAAGATCGAGGTCTGCAGACGCATAGGCAGGTAAGTTATCGAAACTCGCTGCTGGCATATGCTTAGCTCGAGGTATCGACTATACGATCCCAGTGGAAAGCCCACTTGGTTCCATTATCCTTGGCCTTGTCCATGTGCAGTAGGGATCTGTGATTTCCAATGGCACGGATTATCTCCCTCCTAGAACCCCACCTACTATGTGCAATTTTGATGCTCCGTGCCACTATGCGGGCGAATCTAAGTCAAAATGTAAGAGAGGCTCCCACTAACGCAAAAACAGTGAAGCTCCAACCAAAAGTACGGGATATACGACAAGTGCTCCGAGCGAGACGGGCTTAACGTTAATAGGCCTAGGGCAGTACCCGACTTATGACCATTGTCACTACGTACAGGTATTGGAGAACTCTCCCACTGGGTGCGGCTCTGATCCTGGCGCAACTACTACAGATCCTATTAGCAGTGCTCAGCTACGACATAGAGACACAGTGCGACGTTGACGGTACTCTTTGCGACCTTTTGCGAAGTCTGTGCACGGCATGGAGCAATCAAAAGCAAAGGGTCGGAGCTCTCAAGTACAGATTCTAGAGATTGTCGATAGACTATGGTAATTCTTCGTTTCAGGTTTAGATACCGTCTCTTGGAGCTGCAGAAATCGGTACCCGCACTAGCAAGAGTAATTGGGCGTTGGTAGATGGCAAGTAGCGGCGAAGGGATGTACAGATGTTGGCATCTGGTGTCAATTGTCAGAGTACGTGTCAATGCAGATCAGTATAGTGCGCATGGGCTCGGAGGTAGTATCATGCCGCCAAGAAGAATTCGAAGCGTGCCTCAAATCTGGCTACAGGGGTTTATACCAGATTCTCTAAGCTAATTCGAGGAAACTCAATCAAATGCCAGGTCTGTTGGGTCAGCAAAGGGCGTTGTGGAAGCATGCTGACGTCACGTCAGTTGCGGAATAGCACTTGCTGTTGCCTAGCTATATGCTTTGTGTCCAAGACATGGCCACGCACGCAATGAGGCTGTACATTCGTACAAGCCAAAGTAGCGGACCGAGAACTTAGATAGATATATACGCTCATCCGAACACTAGATGGAGGCATCAACCTGGCCCATCCAACCTAGCGACCTCAACTCCACAACGCTCATATAATTCAGGTTTTTAGCCCTGCCTTTCTCGTGCCGGGCACATGTGAGAACCTTCTGTCTACTCCACAGACGTACCCGGCGTGCCCATGGGTACCTCCCACCATCGATCGACGGCATCCGCTTGCTAATATGGGGAAAATGATAATCAATTGATGAAAGGCATGGTTGCACATCCATCGCACAAAAAGCGGTCAGCTAGCCCAGCTCTAGTAGACTAACTACACTATCACCGAAGAGCAGTTATTTTACCGCGCTAAGCTCTATACTCTCGAAGACGAGAAAATAACGAGTCTATCAAAAGAATTTGGGAAAGAACAAGGAATACCCTATGTCGGATAACAGACAGTTCAAGACCATCGGCAAACGCCCTTAATTTCGAGTGCCATTTTCAGGCAGTGAAGATGGACGAAGCTTTTACGGCACATCTCCATCCATCTCCATCCATCTTCATCCATCTTCATCCATCTTCATCC